AGGAGCAGATGCTGCTTGGCCTGCTGTGTTCATCCAGCCCTGCACCTTGTTGTCTCGGATTCTCCAGCATCTGCAGTTCCTACTATCTCTCCCAGCCTATCCAGTCTTTCCTGAGAACTCAAATCTTCCATATCTGGTAACATCCTGGTAAATCTCTTCTGAACCCTCTCCAGCTTAATAATAAAAGTATACCAAACTTTGGATTTATCTCTCTTAGCACATTGTGAACAGTTCTAGTGTCCATCCTATTGAAAGATTCTGAGGCATTGGAGAAGAAAATTCATTTATGTAAAGAGCAGCAAGAATGTGGAATATTCAGAAGTGTAATACTAGAACTGATTAGAAACAAGATTTGTTTCTGTACAAGACAGGATGTTGAGGGGCCCCACTTAAAATCTTTAAAATGAAGGAGTTTGAGAAGGTCGAGTATGTATTAAGCTTTACTGCACCTGTGAGATTTCCACTAAAAACAGAAGAAAGTTCTTCCATCTGCAGTACTGAACCTAGCAGCACTTCAGATTCCAGATCTCATTCTACTCTTGCAAAGACTTGCAATATGCAGAATTCTGGCCATGATCACCATCCTCCCCAAGCATACCAATATTGTACCAACCACATGATATGTTTGACCCACTTGCCATTTTCCATTGCATTAGGGAAAGAAAGTTCTGAATGCAGATGAAAAAGATACTGAATTTCAAAAGGTGGTGACTGCTGGTGAAGTGTGTTTCCAGATTCTTTCTACTATTGAAACAAATGTGTCAGTTGTACTTAGTTACTGTCACAAGGGATCTGGTTTGTTCTCCATGTCCAGCTCAAAAACCAATGTAAATTGACTCTGTTTCTAACAGCTTGCTCATTTTTTAGGTTTGAAAACATGAAGAGAATTTTCAAGGCCGAGAATCACAGGAAACGCCCCTGACACACTTCAGAGCTATTAACTTAATGAAAGTCTTTAATAATTAAAGATTTTTTTCATTTTACAAAGCTTCTGTTGCTTATGAATTACTGCCATTTTTCTTATTTTCTATGTCCTCATTGTTATATAACTTAGTCCTCTAATAAAATGGACAAGATGGCTTTTACTACTCCCCATTGTATTCTGTATAAATAATTGATAGCTGATAACTTTCGTTTGTAGTCCTCTCCCTTCGAAGTTTTATTGCCTGGTCTCACTGGAATTTCCTTCCTGCTTTGCACCTTTGTTTTTGGCCAAGATATCACTTACCTGTTGCCTTTCACAATTCCATGAAATTAAATTTATAATAAAGATGAAACAGGAATACAAGTTAAAGTTCATGATATTTCTCCAGACCAAGACCTCCAATAAAAACATTTTCACATGCCAATGGTTGAACTTGGGATTTGGAAATGTGTTGACCAATTTTCTGGGAAGCATTTCATTGTTTTCAATCAATCTGTTCAGGCACACACATCCAGGACAAGTGGGACTTGAAACTAGACTGTCACTACTGACACTACCATCACATCATAAGGGATCCTAAACTCAGTTACATTTGCATCAATTTAACCTCAATTGTAACGAACAACACTGGATTCCTAAAGTAGTGTTTTCTGAAAGAGCTTTCTACAAGTACCAACTGAGTCAATTTTAACAGGATGAATCCAATTGACTTGCTTTGAAAATTACTTGCATTGAAAATTGCTACGACTTTCCGTCAGCTGTGATTGACATTTGGAATAGGCTTTGATAGTCAGACTGAAGTCAAAGCAGATTTCTCAATACAATCAATGTGCTAACAAGTGTATAAATTGCATTGATGCATGCTCAAAAACCTCAAAAGGAATGAATATGTTTGAAGCATCAGTTAAATTCAATATTTTTAGGAATTACGTAGAGATAATAACTGGTCAAACTGCAAATGTACTGTATCCTCCTGCAAGCTAAATTTAATAGGACTAGTATCTAGTAAAGATTATGGATCAAGAAAGAGACCTGGGAATAATTGATGCTTCATTTTAGGTTCACGAGGAATATGAAATGCTTAAAAGAAAACAAAAGAGAATTTACCTAATTTATTAATTTATTAGTGCAGTCGGCTGGATGACTGGTTTGTGATGCAGAATGACACCAATAGCATGGGTTCAATTTCCACTTCCACCTGAAGTCATCATGAAGGTCCCACCTTCTAAGCTCGTCCCTTGCTTGAAGTATGATCATCCTTAAGTTAAACTCACTATCAGTCATTGTGGTCTAATGAGAGGGCTATATTGACTTTACCTTTTTCTACACTGTTCTTCTTACCTGCAGTGATGATTAGTACTAGCACCTTATATATATTCTTAACACATTCATATATATACTTGTATATTGCTTCATGATTACCTACTCCTGGTATCTCCTGGTATGTCTCTCTGTGTTCCTTGTTCAGACTTGCCTATTAACAGACTTCCAGTCTGCAATCAGTCCTTTTTCTGAATTCAGTTTCTACCCACAACCATCTGGTTGGACAGTTCCTAGCAAGTCATGTTGTTTTAATTTTGTTGGAGTATAATACATGTATGCTGTCCAATTTATTTCTGTCTTGGAGATGTCACATCTCTTTATTAAAGAGGAGAGATTATTCTCTTACACGTTCAATCTGCTTAATCCACTGTCTCCTTTACTAAATACTGGAAGTATGTCCAAAAAGCTTTGATATTGAGTTTTTCTGTAAGTCTTACATTTGTGAACTTTAAGTCCTTATGTTATGTTCACCTATATTCTTTAAAAAGTCTTGGAATTATATACTGCATTTCAAATCCTTGAGACATTCCAATGATGTTCTGTTCCTGTTGCAGTGTCAGCAGAAATCACAATAAATTTTGCCGAATGAAGTAATGCTAACAAAGGTCCATTAAAGATGCTGCATGACTTGGAATTGCTAGTGTTTGTGTTCACCTGCTACACCTATCTTTCAATGTAGCCTAAGTAGAAGATTTGGTCGGATGGTACTAAAGAAACCTTTGTGAGTTGCTGTAGTGCACCTTATATGATACACAGTTCAGCCATGATAAGTTAATGGTGGGGGCAATGGCTGGTTAAGGTGGTGGATGAAGGTAATGTCAATGAATTGGGTTGTTTTGTCCTGGATCATGTCGATCTTTTTCATTTTGCAGCTATATCCATCCAGGCAAGTGAACAATGTTTCATTACTCACTAGATTCAGTGGATACAGGGAGCACAAATCTTTGCATGTTAGGGGTAATACCATTTAACACAGTGAATTTCACACGGTACACTGTAAACCCTTAATAGTGAAATTCCCAATTTAGCACTAATTTGTGATAAATCAGAGAAAATTTACAATGTGAGCTCATTATTTATAAAAGTTAGTTTAAACCAATACAAACTTATTTCATGTAAAACTCTTATAATCTGCAGAAGAAAAGGAGATCTTTATCTCTTCATCCTGAGCTGAACTTGAACCTATTTCAGAGTTACAACAATTTAACAATAGAATGACATTGGCAAAGCCACTAATATTCTTTCAGGAAGGAAATCTGCCAACACTTACTCGGTCTGGCCTACATGTGACTCTAGACCCACAGCAATGTGGTTGACTCTCAGTTATCCTCTGGACAACTAGGGATGGGCAATAAATGCTGACTTAGCCATCAACACCCTCATCTCATGAATGAATTAAAAAAAATCTTGACACCATACCAAATTCTGGCGTGCAATTTGAAATCATTTTGAGGGTGCCACTTCACATGAATTTCAATTTAATTTCAGGTTTCTTCCAGCTGCCAAACAAACAATGATGATTCCCAAGTAGACTATTTCTGAAAATGTTTTACAATTACCAGAGACATCTCACCAATCAGTTTTATTTTCTGGTACTAAAAATCTGGCTATCATTTGGACAATGGTGGACAGATCTCCACTCTACCTGATTGGAGAGTGATGCATAGTTGGTTATGCTGTGCAACAGTTAACAGTGACAAGCCTGCAGTTTCAGTGCACTGTCTGATTCCATGATAGTCAGGTATTATCGGTACAGCCTTGAAAACACCTGTCTGTTTAAATGGCATGCAATAACCATTGTATCAAAACAAATATATGGCTCCAGTCCAGTGCCATTATAAATGTTCAGGTAAGTTTATTGTAGGGTGTGGAAGTGAACCTGGGCCGCAGACTGGTTAAGACTCATATGAAGTACGTTTTAAGACTTTTCCAAATTCCATTGACTTGTCTGATATTATAATTTTGCCTAACCACCATTTGTTCAATTAGCTTTCATTCTCTTTTTTCCCTAATATTTATTGCTGACAAGAGGTGAACAAAATTACCTCAGTGAAAGACGCACCTTTTTTAAAAAAAAATTAATTAATTATCCTACCATATTCAGTTTCTTCTGTTTGTGTCTCTGTCATTAAGTTCAGTTTAGTGCTCAATTTGGGAATCATATGAAACCCTGCTCATTTGTTGCTCATTCTGTAACTCTTTCTAATGGTGATTTAGAACAATTGCAATATGTAATGATGTGACACCCTGAAGTTACAGTATGTATCAATATTATTGTGATGTCAAGTTCTGTTGTGAAGAATTTTCATGTACTCTGACTGTTTGAAAACATAATAGAAGCTTTTGGAGAAGATTTGCTAGCCTATGGAGACTTTGATTTATAGAGAAGCTGACAGCGCTGAAAAGCACTTTATAGCCAATGATGTGCTTGTAAAATGTGCAATATAGGAAGCTGGTAGCCAGTCTGCACACAACAAACACCCACAAAGAGCGAAGTGATATTTCAATAATCATATTTAAATGAGTTTGGGTGAGGTGAAATTGGCTGTGGCATCAAAGACAACTCTCCTGCTCTTCTGAATCATTTCTTTGGGGAGTTTTAGGTCCATCTAAGAGGGTAGTTGAAGCCTTGGTTTCACCTCTCATTCAAGCAATGTACGCCAAAACCAGAAAGCATTTTTCTGAATGTCCACCCATTGATGTTTACTGAGGAACTACCAGTAAGGCTGGCACGCATTGTGGTTCAGGATAAAATTTTCAGCTGGGCCCCTCCCTAACTAAATAATGGCATTGATCATTGTTTACCCACAAGCATTGGGTTATAATATTTAACTTAAAGATATGCATTGCTTAAATGTGGAGCAATCCAGTGATTCATGTGGAAAGCCACAAGCCTGGATTTATCATTCTGATGTAAAACCAGTTTGTTGGGCCTTGTGCCCAACAATTCATCCTGCAGGTCTCCTGGCATCTATCTCGTATGCACATCTTTGTGAGCTTCCAGCAAGACTCCCCTCCCACACAAGGGAAACTGCCTTGAACACCTGCAATCAAGGGAGAATCTGTTCCCGAAAGGAAATAATTGCACAATTTTAACATTTTCTGGTCAGAGGAGATCCATATTCTAAGACTTAATTGGGAGCCCTGTAAAAAAAGAGTGCATCCACAGAGGCAAGGTGCTGGAAAAAGGGAGCAAATTACATGTTCCTTCACTTCACTACAGTATTAGTACATATCTGCAATAAAACAGTATTCATAACACTTAGAATGGTTGTGGTGTTTGGGACAAGGAATTTATTCCTATTCATTTTCCATTAATATATAATTTGAAAGCACTGAATCATATTCAGAGGAGTGAAGATGAGGATAAGTACAAGAAATAGGACAGAGACTATGGAACGGCCCAGGAATATAACTACAGGCACAACGGAGAAGGGGTCAGCTCTGAGAAGTAGGGCGGTCAACACAGGACTGAGGGTGGTGTACCTAAATGCATGCAGTGTTAGAAATAAAGTAAATGAGCTTGCAGCACGGATTGAGATTGGCAGGTGCAGTGTTGTGGATATCACAGACACGTGGCTGCAGAGGGATTGGGGCTAGGTACTAAATATCCAAGGATACACATCCTATTGAAAGGACAGGCAGCTGGGCATAGCATTGCCTTGTTAGTAAATTCATAGGAAGAAGTGATATAGAGTCAGAAAGCAAAGGATCTGTGTGAATAGAGTT